ATGAGTTTGGCCGAATTTGGCCAAAAAGGGCCAACCCGAGGCAGATCGCCGCCGTGGACGGCGGGACCATCGACGGAGCATGGCAGAGCCGCCGTGCCGGAATTTTGATATTGGCCGAAAGAGCCCTGGGTCTGATTTGGGGTTTTTTTGGGGACATGTGCAGGTACCGGAAATGTGTTTCAGTTTCTGGAAAAAAATTCAGGGAATCTAGGGACTGCCTGTAGGCGCAGTGAGAACCCGATTTCAAATTTCAAAACAAGTAAGGATTTCTCACCTTATTTCCTATCGCGGCATTAAAGCTCAATAAATGAATAAACGGTATTTAATGAATTTTGTATAATTAATTAAGGTTACTAATGGAGTCCGAATCTAATGTATTTTTCGGTCAGTTGTTGTTTGATCTATTTTACAGTTTTAAATGCAGTATGATATTTGATATGTTTATTCTATGGTTTCGTATGCATGAATCACGGTTTCGTTTATTTTGTTTTGAATTATTGTGAACCCGTTGTTGTCTTGTTTGGTGTTCATTACCGGTTTACGTTGTTATGTTTGATTGGATAATTGAGACTAAGAAAAATGGAAAAATGTATGTAAATTGATAAATGGATGATGTCAACAAACTAATTAGATATCCTGGGAGATGGTGGACGGATCGGGTCCGTAAGGAACCCTACTGAAAACGTGGTCTCTCATATCGGATAGGATATGGAGACCTTATGTGTTTTGGCGCCCATACCCTTTCATACGTTTAATACGTTTTGGTTATTGTGTAAGAAATATTAATCGGAATTTTTATTTCGCTTCAGCACTTAAAATTTTTAATATATACATTTTTTTTTAAATTTTTATGTCTGTTATAGTATATTTCTCTTGCACTCATGTAATTGAAAACTAAAATAGATTAACTTAAAACCCAATAATCCAAGGATTAGTCAAGTTAATAATTTAATCATAATAAAGAACATACATTTGAATTTATATTTATAGGCGAAATAAACATTTAATAGCGATTAAATTTGCATATCTGTTTAGGCCCCTCTTCTCTTCGCCCAAAGGATGAATGATTAGAGATTCCGTTTCTCAAAATAATTTCTCTTATGATTTTACAGCATTCAGCGCATGAAGCGAACTGATCCGATGTGTTATTCCATCTTTGCTCTAGATCAGTTCACTTCTTCCGGTGAATTCTCTGCAGAAAAAGATTCTGATAAGTCGCTGAAGTGAAATGGATTCATTTCCGTCTTCGTCCTAAGGTTCTAGGGTTGCAGCTCTTTGTTGTCATGCACTTGCTCCGATTCCATCTGATCAGATCTCATTGAAAAAAGAAGCCAAAATAATAATAATAAAAAGAAGAAGAAGAAGAAGAAGAAATGCTGCAACATCAGATTGTGCAATCGCCAGCAAGGTTGGGTTTAACAAACCCTAATTCACCTTCTCTTCAAAATCCTAACCCTACCAAATTCTCCTCTTCCTCCTCGTCCCAGCAATCTCAACCCCCACAGCAGCAGCAGCAGTTATCAAATCTTTCCACCCCCACTACGACGTCGTATACTCTGCTTTCTCTTCTTCACCGCTTCCCAGAGCCCAATCTCTTCTCCTGCAGATGGCTGCGTTGGCCTCCAAGCTCTCGAGGTTTCCCGAATCGTTTCTCTGGCTCTCGCTTTT